AAAAAAGAAGGCTTACCTGGAGAACGAAGATCAGAGAGAAAGAAGATAAAAAAAATACTACCTTCGATCCTTAATACAAGATCTCGTTTAACTTTTATTTTGATCCTAAATATAAAATCCCAATCCACTTTGTTACTCATATTTATGCTTTTTTTAAGACAATCTTTTTAATAATATTAGTCATAACCAATACACTTGATTAGCAAAGATATTTTAGAAAAAATAACATCTATTTATTACAAATAACTAACTTAAGTTATTTCTTTAATCTTTTCAAATTAGTCAGCTAGCTCTTATAATTAGGACTGGAAGTAGTAGTAAAGAATATGTGAAAAAAAACTTACAGTAAAAACCATAGTAAAATCGTAACAAAAAATGAAGTCAAGGAGTAGTTTTTGGAAGAAAATGCATGAAAGAAAGAGGAAAATTATAGTCTCAAATGAGGGAGGACTTTAAGTTCGTTCTTTGTTCTTCAAGCTGAGAGAGAGAGAGAGAGAGAGAGACCAGAAAATAGAAGAAGTTTCAGGCCACTGAACACCGGAGTGAAGATGGCAGGAGTTCAAATTCAAATAGAAGAATGAATAAAAGCCGCCTCATGCATGAATGACGGTCGACAAAACGTGGAATCGGTGGCTGGTAGCTTAGGTGTTTTTCTCTGTCTTCGTTTTCCAAAGCTATATGAGTTGTCATGCAAATATTAATAGTATTTGTATTGCACTGCACATGCTTCCATGTAACTATCACCCTATATTTGAAGAAGCCCAGCCCGACGGTAGCAAAAATGTGCTGGTCTGTTTCTTTTAAAAAAATAAAAATTCCTATAAATTTTTATTGACCCAATTTAAAAGAATAATTAAAAAATATGAAATCATGTTGTCTGTAAAAAAAAGAGAGATAGGTGTCACAAAAATAAAATTTCTTGGAATGAATTTTGAAAATAATCAGTATTATCTTGAATCACATATTACAAAAGAATTGCTCAAATTTCTAGATAAGAATCTTACAACCAAGCAAATTCAACAATTTTTAGGGATTGTTAATTATCTTAGAAATTTTATCCCTCATGTATCCAATCACATCAGCCAGTTGTCCAAATTTATGAAAAAGAATTCTCCCACATGGGGAACATAACAGATTGCAGCTTGCCAAGCATGATGTAAATATTAAGGAAGTTCTCATAGCATTTCTCTCAAGACTGATAGAAACTATATAGCATCTATCAGATTTCTTTGAATAAAGCCTGCGTCTTTTGAAATATCTCAGAAAAGGTTTTCTAGATTTTCTTCTGGAATATGAGCCCTTTAGATATCTAAAACGGTGATAATGAGATTTCCTCTTGGTAGAATAAGAGCAATCTTTGTAATCTTTACACTTGATTTTCAGATAAGGCTTCTTGCAAGTAGGCTTCAGTTTTGATTGTCCTTCCAACACCCCTCTAAAAAATTTTTGTTGTTCACAGAGCTTATCTACTATTACTAATGCTAACTGGTAGATTTCTCCTATAAAAATGTCAGTTATATTTCTATGGAGTACATTGATTCCTCCACGAAGTTCTGACTACAGATCATCTGGAAGAAAGGCAATAAAAATATGTCTAAGATTGACATCATTAGCTTCTTCGGGCATATAGTATTTTTCAAACATCCTTTGGAAATGCTTCTACAAATCCTTTTTATCTAGAGAGCAACATTTCATTTCAAAGTATTCCTGGCGATGCCTTTTATCGATGATCTGGAAGTCACCGATTTTTTTAATATTTAATTTTTTTAATTTTAGTTTCAATTAATTAGATGTCTCTCTCATCTCTTTTTCTTATTCACTTTCTTTCCCATCCACATTTTTTTTGGAAAACAAAATTTAATTTTTACATATTTGCTGCACCTAACTAATTTTAATTAATTTTTCACACAACGTAATTTGATTAATTGTATGTTATAAAAAGAACGGACAGAGTATATTACAATACGCCATACGTACATATCTTATTTTTATTTTTTAATATAAGATATTTAAAATATTACTTATATTGATTTTTTTATAATTAAATGTCAATAGTTTTGAAACTTTTATTTAAATTATAGTTTATAAATCACGATCGATTTAACTCTGGATTGACTCTGATCTAACTTATTAACTCTTAACCCGCTATCTTGACTTATTCAATGGTCGATCCGATGTTTTTTTGAACCTTGCTCTTAAGAGTACCTTCTTACAATTAATAAAAAAAATTAAAAAAAATAAATTAAGATCTTATATTAAAATTAAATTTAACCACCAACTAGCTCATATATTATTCATGAGGAGAGGTTCTATTAAATTTACATAAATGCTATGTACTGCAAGTTTGTCAACTCCATTTTTTTCCTTGAAGTATATTTGGATGCTACATGTGGTCTAACAAATTGAAATATGTAAGAGACCTTGTTGCCAAATTAAAATGCACAAGGTTTGAGAACTGAACACAGAATAATGATGCAAAAGCCCCGCCACACCGACTGATAATCTACAAAGAATAGTTACCAAAATCGCTATAATACGGCAAGTTGGCTTGTGCAAATTATAGCACGTTTTGCTCATGCTCTGTATTCAAGTCTCCACTTTTCATCTCCAAACATCAATATGCCAATCATAATCAGTTTAATTACATTAAAAAACTTTCATCTAAAGCTCACTTTAAAGGAGCAAGAACTCACGGTCTGTTTTCTTTACTCTGTTTTCATCTACAAACACCATCATGCTCGTTCCTTAAAAGTAACTTAGCTTATTCACCTGCCAAAATTTTCATTGGGCTGAAGCTTATAAAATCATCATTTCCCTGTAATGGAATTACCCAACTGATGAGGAAAAAGAAAAACCCAAAGTTCTCACTGAATCGAATGCCGAAAGGCTTGAAACATCCACAAAGCACTGTAACTTGTAATAAATAGATATTTAAATTTTGTGAAAACATATATGGGAGTGCTTTTAGTTTCACTTGATTATAGGTTATTTTCTTTTTATTAATCTTAAGAGGTTTTTTATGTTAATTACTGGTCCTCCTGCTCATATCCTGTCTGCTATTCTAAACAGCATTTGTTTATTTGATAGATGGTTAAGCAGAAGAGTTTAGTTTTCAATAGTCTTCAAAACCGATTTTCTTTCCGATAGCATATTTGATGCTCCGCAAGTTCCTTGCTCTTAATAGTTCTCTCAGCTAGATCCCACACAGAGAACGTGGCCCCAACTTCTTTTGAAGGATGAACTGAGTGATTAGATGGTGAAACGATGAAGATGAAGCGATATAGGGGAAGAAAAATGCTTGGGTTTGTTGGCAATGGCAGAATCATCTTCAGGGAAGAAGACTGCTGGAAGATTCACGTTCTTATTAGCGTTGTTATCGGCGGACTTTACCTTTGCTTTCGCCAATAAATCCATCATTGTCTCTGCTTGGCTCCGTGGTCGTCCAAAATGCTGCGACGCTTTTGCGCTGTTTGGCCCTGTTTTTGGACGCTTTGGAAACAATAACGAAGAAGAGTTATGAGGCTTGTGTGTAACTCGTTACCGGTGGACAGGAAGAGGATTTCCTATTCTTCTTGTGTCAATAACACTGTACAATGTTTTCTTGGATATGCATCATCCTTCTTGAATTTTCTCCCCGTGTGAGGCTTGGACCCTTTTTGCAGCAGTGATGAAAAGAAAAGCACTGTCAAAACGCCATTTCATAGGCACAATCAATAGTGATGACACTGGTTAAAGGTGGATGAAACTAGTCAAGGGTGGTTTTCCTGTGCAAAAACCACCTGGGAATACTCTCAAAAGCAAGGTAACTTGCGCAGCATCACATGTCGTCAGAAAGAAAATTGGTTTGGAAGAGTATTGAAAGCTACACTCTTCTGCTTGAACACGTGACATGGTGACAGTCACCTGTCAGATAAACAAACCCCGTTTAGAATAGCAAACAGAATATGAGCAGAAGGACTAGTGATTAACGTTAAAAAATCTAATAAAAAGAAAATAAACTATAAGGACCTAATTCAAAATCAAGTGAAACTATAAGCACTACCATATATGTTTTCCCTTAAATTTTCAACAATTTATACATGCCACATGGGCATCATAAAATACTATTGTACATGATAGCTTCAAACTTCGTTACAGGTATAATTAAGATTAGCCATGAAACAGTTCTTGCAGTGTGTCATTAGCCCTTGTCAAGATATCCTCCGCGGCAGAAAAAGGCCCAAGCAAGGACATGGAATTCCTGCACAATCAGTTTCTCTTCACAATCTACAATTGAAGTTAATAATGTCTTGAAGATAATCCTTTACTCTAACACTGAAAAATAATAAGTTTAAATTACAGAGCCACACAACCTGATTCAATAGACTTCTAACAGCAGAGAAAAAGAAGAAAGCATGGCAAAGAAAGGAAAAGGGTTATGAAAACAGAAGAAATTGCCTCAATAACAAAAGCATAAGCACTGAGAACTTACTGTTATGTTTCTGCACTTTCAAATTATTTTTAATGTTTCTTCTAAAATTAAGAAACATAACAGCACGAACAAGAAGACGGCTATTTCAGTCCTAGGCTCCTAGTTCACCAGATTTGAAAATTTTCTCTGAAAAAAAACCTGCTGACCGCACCAAGTCAAAAAGCAATCATGAAAGCAATGATCTTAAACAAGGACATCAAAGGACAGAGAAGAGTTTAAAATCAAAAAAAAAAAAACCCAATATTTGTTTTTGAAATTTGACAACCATATTCCGTCTGAGGTTATTATTTTTTAATGGTATCCATAAAAGCTTAAATTTAATATTTACTATGCCCAAAACCTACAGTTCACAGTTGCCAGCGTGCATCGGTATCAATGATATCAAGTATGAGCAAACGCTCCTCCTTTTCAGATGGAATCACACAGAAAAAAGTCTAGAATAAAATGGAAGAGGGAGATATTGATGATTAAGTAATGGTAGAAGGTTTATTACCATTAATGATCTGTTAGTGTTGTTTAAGAAATGGTTCTAGCTGATTTTGATTCTCATGAGCAAAGCTTCCAATTCTTCAATATCTTCTTGTCCATTAGGCTGAGCACACAACTCCATTTTCAATTTCTTGCATGGAGACACTGTTTCTTCCCCATCAGCGTTTCCAACTCCGGTTCCAAATTTACTGATTTCCATCTCCATTTCATCAATATCTCGATGCTGCTTTGACATCTTGCCCAACTCACACTTCATTTTCCTTTGTTGAATGAAATTCTGATATTCAGAGGCATATATCGGGCAGGTCCCACACTCTTCGATGAAGCCATCACAAGAAACGAAACTAAACAAAACCTTTTTGTTAGAAGTGGTGTCTTCATCACTTCCATTGCCTCCTTTAAATCTCTCCAATACTAATTTAGAGAAGTATGGATCACAACAAAGTAAAATGTGATCTGAGCTGAATTCTGCATATTGTGGATCAAAAATCTGAAATTCAACTGCTTCCCCTTCTTCAATGTAGCACTTGCAAGTCACAGCAGCTTGAATTTTTTCCTTAGAGATGAATTGAGGAATGACTGAACATAAAACAAAACCCAATAAATGACCAGAGGCCAAAGACAGTTCTATGGTTACCAAACCCTTTGTTGACCGATTATAGCCAAACCACAATGGAACACTGTTTCCAGGATAAAAAACTGTAAATCTTTGCTTGTTATGTACTGCTTGCTTCAATGAGAACTCCACATGTTTCTCAATAGCACAACGTGAACGCTCATTCAATTTCTCACAATTGTGAAATGAAATGAAATTATGACCATTTACCCGTAATAGCCTTGAAATTGTTGAAGCAAACACTCTCTCTAATGATGTGCAATTACTGGCAATAAAATTTCTAAGAGACCGTGGAAGCTGGGGTAAAAACTGAAGCTTAGTGCAACCATTCAAAGTAAGTTTTTGCAGCCGAGAGAGATGTTTGATATTGTTGGGGAGCTTAGTTAACCCAGAACAGTCCTCCAAACCCAGTATTTGTAGACATTGCAGGGATTCAAACAGTATATGTAGCTTTGGTTCATCCACTAGGTGTCTGCATTTTCGAAGGCGAAGCTCCATGAGAGATCTAAAACAACATAACTCAGTTATTGGAAGATTGCCAAGACTTGAAGCATCAAGAAGCAGAGTTTTGAGATTGGCAAGATGCCCAATTGAGGAGGCGTGCAGTGCTGCAACCAATTTTCCTACTTCCTTCAACAACATACAGTTGATTGAAATTGATGTGCAGTTGGAGACATCTAGCTCTTTAACAGACAGAGGGAGCTCTGGTAAACATTGAAAATTTCTGCAACTTCTCAAATGAAGCCTTTGAAGTCTTGAGAGTTGCTTGATGTTGTTTGGGAGCTCAGTTAAGTTAGAGCAATTCAGGAAGCTTAGTATTCGTAAAGCGCATAAGGCATCAAATAGCATGTGCAGCACATGTTTGCCAAACGCATAATTGCAGATACCAAGATCCTCAAGAGATCTTAAGCAACATAACTCCTTTAGTGGAAGATTCTTCAATTTTGAACCATTGAGATGAAGACTTCTAAGCTTAGCAAGACTTCCGATTGATGGGTGTAGAATGTCTATACCGGTTGATCCTAAAAATAAACATCTTAGTTCTTTGGATGATAATGAGAATTCCTTCAGAGTAGGGCAGTCGTGAACAAGGACTTTTCTAAGAGATCTTAAATGAGTATCACTTTGGAGACTCTCGAGGTTTTTGCATTTGCCTAAATCCAAAGAAACAAGGCTCTTGAGAGATAAGATAGATGGATGGACAAAACGCAAACTTTCACAGTAATATAGATTCACCAGTTCCAGATTATGGGCCTTGGAGAAATCAGGCAACTGTCTCAGTTTTCTGGAAAAACGAAGATCTATTCTCTTCAAATTTACAAAATCCTGCAACAATTGACTAACAGACATCAGAAAGACTTCTTTCAATTATTAAAAATGAAAAACACACTAATTCACATTATACCTGCACGCCATCCCAAAGTGTTTTAACATGGCTGTATTGCATTTTCAGTTCAACAAGGCTCTCAGAACAAAAAGTTGATGGCAAAGAGCCCAAAGGGTACCCATCCCACTGAAAGTACCTTAATATATCAGAAATAGACACCCTTCTGAAGATGCACATTGAATGATCCGGCATTGCATAAGGAATAAAATTTCAGGAATCTTAAATTAGTCATCTTTTTGAAGGTGTTGGCATCCAAGTATATATCTTTAATTCGAGAAAAATTTAAGATTATGCCTTCGACAGCTTCAGTTCCCTAACAATTATCAAAATGAAAATTAGAATAACAGCAAGTAAACTAAACCATGCTAGCTACATTTCTCACCAAGGATCACAGAGGTTTAAGAGATGAAGGGCTTACCCGATTGCTTCTCAATACATCATAGACTTCCTTAGGGTCCCATAATCTAGTGCGTCTTCCTGGTTCTTTAATACATTCTTGACGAACTATCTCCCAACCCATTTCTTGTATTAGATCATGCATCCACAATCTTTCACCCACAGTAATAAGAGCCTTATCTTGGAGGGTTCTAATGCTAATTCTTGCATGGAATCCATAGCTGTCTAATAGCTGTATTATATGTTCTTTAAGTTCACCTTTCAAAAAGCACGCAATGTCTAGAAATATTTCCTGCTCTTCATCTTTTAATCCGTTGTAGCTCAATTTTAACACTTCCTGAATATCTTCATGTGGAATCCTTTTGAATTTTCTTAACGCACTCTCCCATTCTTCTTTAGTTTTGGAGTAAAGAAAAGAACCCAGAACTATTAAAGTTAAAGGATTGCCTTTGGTGTAAGTAACAACCCTTTTTGATCGCTGTTCATATCCAATTTCAGGATGATCATTGTGAAAAGCTTTCAAGTTGAAAAGCTTGAAGGATTCTTGATTACTTCAATGGCTTGGCCTCATATATTTCATTAACTCTACCAATAAGCATATGCTATCTCTTGTTGTTATGATGACTTTACTACCTTGCCCCAAGCAATCACATTCTCTAGCGAGATAGTCCAATTGTTTTGAACTATTAACATCATCTAGCACAATGAAAACTTTTCTGCAGCTAAGCCTTCTCCTAACAAAAGTATATCCCAAAACTTTAGGTTGGGTAAGATGGATATTTTCTTCCATAAGCAGCTCTGAAACAAGTTTATCACGTATATATTTTAATTCATGCTTTTCTGACTCTTCCCTTGCATTTTCTAAGAAACAGCAACTTTGATATCGAGGGGAGAGTTTGTCAAATACAACCTTAGCCATGGTTGTCTTACCTATCCCACCCATTCCCCAAGCTCCAATTATTGAAAATTTTCTCAGTAACAACTCAATGCATTCACAATTTTCATCAATTCCAACAAGACCTTCTAATATTGGAGAAAACATCCTTAATAATGTTCTGAATTAGTTCAGCTTCGTCCCTAGCACACAAAAATATTGGAGAAAACAAAGAAAAGTCAATATACACACATGTATATAGTATCATAGGAAGTGGAAAATAAAATTTGACGAACTAACTAGTAGTTAAGAACATAGCAATTTAATAATACTAATTTAAAAAAAAAAAGAAATTATTTATAAATAGGTTCTTATTATAAACAGGTTTTTATTCGTGTTTTGCACGGCTCCTGGGCTTAATCATATTATATGACAGACATTCTCTTTTACGCTTTGACCACACATAGTTAGCATCATGGCGTGTGACAGATGAGGATGACTTGCCACGAGTCCATAAAATTTTAATTTTCGCGGAAAGAAAATCTTGGATTCACGCTTGTTTAGATGAGTTATTTTAAGTGATTTTATGCTCCATAATAAATACAAATATGCAAGGGAGTTTGTGTCATAAAATACAAAACCCCTTACAGAATAAGTAATCCAAAATATGGATGTCCAATTGCAATCATTAGAACAATAAAATATACAAGTAAAACAAACAACAAAAGTCGTTGCCTGTTTTCTTTTTTTAAGTAGTATTTCTAATTCTCAATATAAAAATTAATTCATTAATTTAAATAAATTAAAAAAATTAATTAAGTTAATTATTGATAATAAGTAAATATTTAGAACTACCAGTATTATTATAAGGATTACATTGAAAGAAAATAAACAAATATAAAAGACAAAATAAAATAAATTAAAATCTTATATTCAAGATGAAAATAAAAGTCAAACGAAGTCTTATATCAAAGATTAGATATAGTATAATATAATATTATGACTTTTTTTTTGTTCCGTCAATTTCTGAACCACACCCATTTATTTTAGGCTTTTTCTCAGTCACATTTAAATTTTATTAGTAATAAGAATATAAATAAGAGAGTACCGGCATCATCTGTGTACAAAATTTACAAAATATTAACATTTTTTTGTATAAAAGTTTAGTAAGTCATTATCAACAATAAAATGTTTAATGGGAATTTTTTCCCACTTTTTCCTATATAAAATTACTTCTATTTATTTATTTATTTTATCCATTACTTATCTTGACTTCGATTTAACTTTCGCTTTGATTCGGAGTTAAAATTCTTTCCCTATATATGAGGGGATGAAATAAAATTAACATAGGATGACTTGGCCAGAAAATCTAGATAAATGTAACCTGATTTATTGACTTAACATACATTTTCACAGCAAATTATTTCTCTACGGATAGTTTTAATTTCTTCATTAAAAATTGAGAAACAACAAACTTCCTTATTTTTACGCGAGTGAGTCAAGCATGGCCAACAAAAACAAAATGAAATCAGATAATATTAGATGCAAAATAGACTGCGTATTGAATATACATCTATTGATCATATAAATGAATCAATTTATTTACTCAAGCGTTAGTGTTTAACAATATGCAAATGCGTTAATTATTGATTAATTAGTGTTAAAATTACATCAATTTATTTATTCATTAAAACTATTAAATAAGTCAATAAGCCTGTGACAAAGTCGATTATATTGAGTTGACTCTTGCAAATGGTCCAAAGAAGATGTAATTTGAGAGCAACGGTGTTGGCCAAAAAAAATCATTGAAAGTAATTAATTAGATTTATTTAATATGTAAAAGTTGAAAATGAAAAGAAAAAAATCCTAACCAAACAAAAAGACGACAGCTATACCAAAAGAAGATAGTTAAATGAAGAAAAGGGATCTTAACTTTATGGGAACAGAGAGCAATAACAATTGAGATGGAAGTTACGGTTTATAAGAGAAATAACTATGAAAAAATAGTGAAAAAAAAAACCGTAAAATTTGAAAAATTACAAATAAAGACCCGTAACAATATTATTATGGGTTTTGACAATAATAATATAGATTTTGACAACAATTTTTATGAACAGGCCCTCGTCTATAGTTTTTCAAATTTCACGGTTTTTTTTACGATTTTTTCAATAATTATTTCCAAATCCTTATTATTAAATGAACACACATTAAATAATACACAGAAGGCAGATGAATAAAGAAGCACAAGTGCTCCTCCATTATGATTAAATAATCCTTATTATTGTCTTTTCTCAATGTGCTTTGACTATAATTTACTTTGTGATGTCCATTCACACCCGATCCCCTTCATCACAGCATTTTGTTAAATCGTATTTGAGCTATTGTGTTATTGGACCATTTGGGGTGACAGAAATCCTGTACAGAAGTCATTTAATATTTAAAAAAAAGATGTTAATAACCAAAGAACAAATTGCAATTCAACTAAAATCTACAACAGGATACTGTTAAATCAGAATGAATTTTAGTTGCTTGGGGTGGAAGAGACCGATAAGACTTCCTGACCAGAGAGTGGTTTGAGCTGCGGTAAAACTATGAAGAAGAAAGCAAACAAACAAAACAATATTATCTGATCACTCTGGAACTCTACTTTTCATAGATAATGAACAGTTGTTCTTCTAATATTGTTTGCTTGAACAAGAAAGCTGCAAAGTGTTATATCAAGCAGGTTATGAATAACAACAATATCATCAATTTCACTGAGGATATGCAGATATGAAATAGTAGCTGGGAACAATCTGAGGTACAATTCTCAGTTGGTAAAAGTCCAAGAAACTCACAGGTATGATCAGCATTATGTTCTTGAGCTCATTTTTACAATTCATTTCTGTAACAACATAGTAGAAAAGGAATACAAATCTGCTCAGAGTTATGTTAGAAGAAGTAATTCTAAATAGTTACTATTTTCGAAGCAAGGGTGAAAAACCAATAGGAAGTTAATCTGCTCATAGTCATACATGCATCACTTTAGTACTCTGCTTCAAGGTAACAAATAGCACCTCTCAATCTTTAATCCAACTCAACTGCATATTGCCTATTGCTACACACTGCATCGAGGAAAATGCCAACAATGTTAGCTTGAGAAGAAACCTGGCCACTGTAAGAAGCCAACAATAAATAAAAGCTTAAGTTAGGAAACAAGGCGATTCAAGCATATCAACAGAATTAAATACATTAGAAGGTAATAGCTTTTTCACATAAAAACAGAACGGATATTTTATTTGGAAGATATCCACTTTTATACATTTTTTCACCATCCCTATAGTTTTTGCTACCACAATGACTGCATACTAGATAAAGACAGTTGCTTACTAGATGAAATTTTAACGAGAGAGGCATATAAATACCAGAACAGGAATCACAGATAATTTATATGTGACGAATGCTATCCTTCGTGCTTTCCAAATTCAATTGTGATAGAGAAAATATCAACTCATCAACATCATGAGATGTCTTGGACTCAGAACTCAGGGGAACAGGTTGAAGGATTGAAGACATCTTCCATTTCTTTGTGGCAGTGGGTTGCTGTAGCTCATCATCAATACTCCGACACCTCTTTTTTCCTGTTATTAACTTCAACTCCAATTCCTTTTGTTGAAGGAACTCTCTGTATTCAGAGGCATATATTGGGCGAACTCCACCTTCTTTGATCAAGCAATCGCCAAACTTAAATTCAAATGTGACCTTTGATTCGTATTTCTCAGATTTACTGGGGCCTATTCTGCTTTGAATATCCTCCAGAATGAGTTCACAATAGAGGGGATCATACCATAGGAAAACATTATTTGAATTCAATCCGATCATTGAATAATGCCATCCTCTAGGGCCTTCTTGATAAATGTTATTTTCATCATAGTATCCACATGATGAGTGCCGTAGATCCCTTTCTTTTAAGGAGAATTGAGGAATAACAAAGCAGAAAATGAAACCCAATAAGCCATCAAAACTAGGATTAAGCTGAACAGAGACAGAAGACCCTGTTGTCAAGCTTTTGTATGCAAACCACTCTGGAATAATACTTGCCTCAAAACCACCACATTTTGCTTGCTTCAGTGAGAAACTAGCATATTCCAGTATTCCACGAAATGAATGCTCCTCAATATCTTCAAAAGTCCTTTTCTCCCTTGTTCCCAACTCCAATTCCTCTTGCTGAAGGAAGCTGTGATAATCTGGGGCATATATTGGGCAGACTCCACATGCTTCAATCAAGCCATCGTGTTTTGTTTCCTCCATAAAACCGAACCCAATAAAATCATCGCTATCATATGTAACAACATAGAATTCAAATGAAAGCTTTGGCTTATAATTGGCGTCTGGATATTTTGTGAATATGTTTTTATGAGTGGTCCACAGAAAAACATGGTGTGAATTAACATTTGTTATAACAAAACTCAAGCTTGTGCCGCATTCACCATCTTCATCATAAATTTGGCATTTTACTCTGTAAGAACAGCTTTCCTTTGGAGTGAACTGCGGAAGAACAGAGTAGAAAATGAAGCCTTGCAAGTTGTTCATGGTTGAAGAAAGCTCAATAGTTATGAAATTGGGAGCCTTAGCTGTCTGATTATGTTTAAAACAATCTGGAACTTCTCTTCCTGGATAGCAAACATCAACCATTTGATTTGTATGCACACCACGCTTCAAACAGAAGTAAGCAAACGCCATAATATGGGAAAGTGAACGGTTCCCTATGTTGCAACATGAAAGAATAAGCCTTCTTAGATTTCTGAGATACCTGATTGAGGAATAGGGTGTTAAATTCTGCATTATTTGCTGTGGCAACAATGGAAATTCAGTATGAGAAGTGAGTATTAGCGTCTCCAATGATGTGCAGTTGGTAGCATCTAAGTCTTTGATGGATGGAGGAAGCTCTGGTAAAGATTGAAGGCTCTTGCAATTTATCAAGGAAAGAAATTCTAGTCTTGATAGATGCTTGATATTGTCGGGGAGCTCAGTCAAGATGCAACTCCCATCCAAATGAATACTTATTAGACATTGTAAAGCATCAAATAGGATATATAACTTTGATTCATCAATTATCTCTCCACAATCAGAAAAAGTAAGATCTTTTAGAGATCTCAGTCCATAAAACTCATTGACAGGAATATTCTTTAGTCTTGAGCAATTGAGTGAGAGACTAGTGAGTTTCTGGAGATAACCAATTGAAGAGCCCAATGACTCAATGCCAGTTCTATTTAATTGTAAAACTGTCATGCTCTCTGATGATAATGAAAATTCCTTGAGACCATAGCAATTATCAACACTAAGGCTCTCTAGAGATTTTAAAGGGCTCTCGCTTTGCAAATGCTTCAGCTTTATGCAATTAGTGAGCCCCAAAGACTTTAATCTATGGAGAGATAAAATAGAGGGATGCAGATGGCTTAAGCTTTCACATGAGAAGAGATTCACCCATTCAAGTTTCCGTGCCTTGGAGAAATCAGGCAGCTCTGCCAATTGCTTAGATCCTCCAAGGTCTAATCCCCTTAAATTTACCAAATCCTGTATGAATTAAAAAGGGAAACATTACTTGGGAAACAAAAGTAAAAAATTTCAATTGACATGAAAAAATTGAACTAATCATATTTGAATATTGCACCTGTGTTCCATCCCACAATTTTTTAAGCTTGCTGCCATTCATACTAAGTTCAACAAGTTTCTCTGCACAAAAAGATGATGGTAGAGCCTCAAAAGGAAAATTATCCCATTGAAAATAAGATAAATGATTGGAAAATGACCCTTGGCTTGGGGGAATATTCACACATGACCTTCTATCTGAATTAGATGAATAGAATTTGAGAAATCTCAAATTAGTCATCTTTTTTAAGGTGTTGGAAGTTAAGCATATATCTCCAATTTGAGACAAATCTAAACTTATGCCTTCAACTGCATCAGTTACCTGAAGTACACAAAATTCAAATAAAGGTAAGCAAATATCATCATATATTAGTAATTGTTTTCACTTGTAGACATTTCTTGTGTGAAAGCAAACTGCTTCTTTTTCTTACCCGATTATTTTTCAATGCATCATAGATTTCATCAGGATTCCATAGTCGACTTCGTCTTCCAGGATTTTTTACACACTCTTGACGAACAATTTCACGACCCATTTGTTGTAGTAAATCATGCATCTCCACATAATAAGAAGAAATGCGTATGAGGGCCTTATCTACGAGGGTCCTCAAGCCAATTGTTGCATGGTAGCCATAGCTGTCTAAAAGAGCTACTACTTTAGCAATACTTTCACCTTTTAGAAAGCAAGCAATTTCTAAAAACATTTCTCTCTCTTCAAAGTTTAGTCCATCATAGCTCAATTTTAACACTGCATGAATATCTTCATGGCTTGTCTTTTCCAATTTTGTCAATGCACTTTCCCATTCATCTATAGTTTTGGAATATAGAAATGAACCCAAGGTGATTAAAGCTAAAGGATTGCCTTTAGCATAAGCAACAACTCTCTCAGATAGTTCTTCATATCCGCTTTCATAATCATCTTTGTGAAAGGCTTTGAGGTTGAAAAGGCTAACTGATTTGTAATCGCTCAATGGCTTGGCTTCATATATTTCATTAACTCTTCCAAGAAGCAAATGTTCATCTCTCGTAGTAATGATGACTTTACTACCAGGTCCCAAGGCATGACATTCTTTGGCCAAATATTCTAATTGATTTATCTTGTTGACATCATCAAGCACAATGAAAACTTTTTTACAACTAAGTCTTCTCATGGCAAATGACGTGGACCTAACCATGGAATCTTCTTCCATCAATAGTTCTCTAAGAAGTTTATCACGTATATGCTTTAGTCCACATTTTTCTGATTCTTCTCTTAAATTCTCAAAAAAACAACAACTTTCAAATTGGAAGGAGAGCTTGGCGAATACAGCTTTAGCTATAGTTGTTTTGCCTATACCACCCATGCCCCAAATTCCAATTATTGAGGCATTTTCCAATAATGATTCAATACAATCAGCGTTCTCTTCAATTCCAACAAGACCTTGTAATGTACTTGGATACATGTGCTCCAATCTTTTCAAAATGTCATTGACAATATTATGAATGAGTTGTGATTCGTCCCTAAAATATAAAATAGAAAGAAAATATTAACACTACTAAATAAATGATATATATATTGAATAAAGTAATAAATAAAATTGATGTTATTTTATTCAGATCAAATTACATAAATTTCATTACATCTACATAACAGATGACATTCTATATTTAGTGATATTTGATGTATTTTTTAGAGTTATCAATGCATGGTAGGAATTTGCATAATTTTCTAAGGAAAAATTGAAGTGATTGCACCATATGATCTTCAATGTGAATATCATTAAGAAAGTGAGTTAAGAGCGATAGAACTAAAGTAAACAAATGTTTCATTCATAATTGTTGATTTCTTGCATGTGGAGTTAACCATTTTGGATAAAAGAGAGTAGACATTCCTAGAAGAAATAGCAAACCATGCAAAATAACATAATTTTTGTTGAGATTACGCAGTTCTCTGTTTTTTTTTTTGGGGAGGGGTTATTTTCTATCAATAATAGATACTAAGCTTTCTAGGCATATATAGAGGATAGAGAGATGCTACTCAACTAGTTTTTTCCCATACGCAAAAGATGGAAATTAACTACCAATCACTTGCTTAAGAGATAAGAGCCGCTACAACTCATTCGACAAAAAAAAAAAAAAAAAAAAAAAGCCATGATAACTCATATCAAGAAAGTTAATCTTTTTACCAAGTCATCTTCACTATTTACCAAACGTACAGAAATCTCTCATGAAAAGAATTGAAGAAAACACGTATAATCTCAATCTCAAATAAAACACAAAACATGTTTGTAATACTACTAATTATTTATATTCATGTCCTTCATACTCCCAATTAATATTTTGAAGGCTGATTAACTATAATAATTGAAGTTAGAGCTGAAGGCACAATTTTAACATAGTTTAAACAAGTTTTCTCAACAGAAAGCTGAAGCAGATCAACTTTAAAGATTGAAAATGAATAAGTATAGATCTCAATGAAATTCTGGTCAGCAAGATAAATCAAAAGAATAAACAAAGGTACGAAGTCAAGTAGCTAATTAACCCAAAAAAGAACAAAGTATGAAAGTCTAGTTTAATAATTCAAAGGTATAATTTTTCAACTACGTACTGACCTATAAATCCAAGAGTCCCAACCAGCTAAGTTTGCAGTTTCAAAAAGAGCACGTTTCCACTGCTTCACCTTCTCTGGGTTTTGTGTATAGTGTTTTTCAAAAGCTTCCTGGTATGTTCCCTTTTGATTGCGTACATGAGATGGGTCGACTTGGTAGAAAATAGGAATAACGAGCTGTCCTTGGACTTCTTTACACTCCAGTATCTTAAGCAGTTCATTCAAACACCATTTTGAGGAAGCATAGTTTTCTGAGAAGATGACCGCAGATATGCTTGAATCTTCAATTGCTTGGATGAGAGATTGGGAAATGTCATCTCCTTTTGAGAGTTCATAATCTATGTAGGTTCGAATACCGCTCATGCACAGGGCAGTGTGAAGATGGCTGGTGAAGGTTTTGCGAGTATCCTCACCTCTGAAACTCAGAAAAACGTCATATTTTCTGGGAAAATATGCAGAAGAGCAGGAGGAGGATGATGAAGCTGCAGCGCCCATGGTACTGTGATTAGCTATTCAGAGTGATCAAAAACACAGTTTGCACCCTCTTCTTTGCCGATGAGAAAAGTTCACAGTGACGATGGAGGATATTATGGCATCGAATGGACTTGGCTTACTTGCTAAGCTTGGGAGCCAAATGAACAGCAACCGAACTTTACTCTTTTCACATTGGGATACGTGCAGTTCGTCACCATTTTACCCCACCTTCATTATATTCACGGTTTCCCACCGGAAACTTTGCTCACCCTTTAACTACGATTTGTACGAATCAATTATCAATCAATGGCCTGATATGGAGCACAAACTATTTTTTTGAGAGTATTTGGTGGGGCAATTTCCTCTCAAGCATGCATTTCTAAACGTAGTAATATCATTGTTTTTACTGGTAAGAAAAGTTAACTTTAACTGCCAAAAGGATTTCTTTTACATAAAACAAGGTACGTGTTCATGCTATGTGAAGAAATCTAAATAAGCTTTCTAAAATCTTACCTGAGGTCTATTTGTTTAAACCTTTTTCAATTAAAGAATACCTTTTTCGGAAAAATCATTTTCTGGAAAATTTGGACTTGCTTGTTTAAGTTTTAAAAATGGATAATATAATTTTTTGGTTTTCAAGTTTGTCCTCATTTTGGTTTTGATTTTTCTATTTTAAATCATAATTTTTTGTTCTTTAAGAAGTAAAATGGTTCAGGTTTTTATTAAGATATAGGTATTAATGTTTTAAATAAAAAAATTGAGGGATTAAAATATATGACTTGAAACTTAAGAGACCAAAATCAAAATAAGACAAAATTGAGGAACCAAAAATTATATTAATCCTTTCAAAAATAAGTATTTTTTAAATATTTTATCAGATGTGAGTCTTGAAACCTGTGTGTTTGTCTTCTTTAAAATTTTAAATATGAACCATCCATATTATATCTTGAATAGTCCAGATTTTATCACAGCAATAAGCATTACATACTCATATTGTGATTAGCACCAGATGAGAATAGGAGGTATGGCCAACAAAAACAAACAAAAATCATATAATATTCGATGACAATATAAGCTGCATATTTAATATAGCTATTAATGATATAAATGAAGCATGCATTCGGAAAACGTCTGTCAACCATGCGTTAAAAAATGCAAATGCATGACTTATAATTAGTAACTAGTGTTAAACAGACAAGAAGTTATTTATTCGTTAAAACAACAAAGTCAACACAATTTTTGAGATATTATGACGCCGCGGTATGTGACAAAGTCAGCTTTTTATAACTGTTCCAAAGAAGATATTGTGTTGGAAAGCAACAGAAACGATAGAGCCAATGTAGGCAATTTTCCTTAACTAGATTTATTTAATGTGTAAAAGTTGAAAATGAAAAAGGAAAAAAAAAAATCCTAGCCACTCAGTACTTGAAAGAAATACTACCTCCGGTCCTTAATATAAGAACCCGTTTGACTTTTTGTTTGATCCTAATTATAAGACCCCAATCCATTTTGTCTCTCATATTTATATATTTTTTTTCCAAGATAGTCCTTCTAATAATGATAGTTTTAGCCAATATACTTAATTAGCAAGAATATTTTAGGAATAATAACACTTATTTATTACAAATAACTAATTTAACTTACTTCCTTAATTTTCTCAAATAAATCAATCGGGTCTTATAATTAGGACAGGAGGTAGTACCAATTATACCAATCTGATTTGGTTGTTATTGGTTAGTAGAAAAGAATAAATAAAGCTCTTCTCGCCCAAAGATGGATCGATCATAATGATGGGTTTAGTTTATGCATCAAGAAGGATAATATGAACAAGTCAGTACTAAGAATTAAAATAAAATCCTTAAGGATGTTAATCAATTGATATAGCTAAATGATGAGATCAAGTCTCAATTAATTGTTACATGTACGCATGGAACTCAAAGGCATGGCCTGCATATATATTCCTCAGCTAACCTTCACGTTTCCTTTCTGTGACAAAAATAGAAGATAGATTATATAATCACTTCAAGCATCCACAGGACAGCTTGTTATTCATGTTGTCAAGAAGACAATAAAGTGAAGAAAAGGAGTTTTTAACTTTATGAGGAACAAGAGCAATTATAATTCAGACGGAAGTTTTGGTAATCCCAGATTCTTATTATTAAACTCACCAAGATTTCATATTTATAATATAAGACCGGGTCTTTATTTACTATTTTTCAAATTAAAGATTCTAAATAATAATTTCACATATTTAGGAGTCTTTATTTGCTATTGTTTCCCAAAACAATTCTTGTTTACAAATAAAATTAGAAGAGTAAAGTGTTCACGTGACTCCGGAAAATAACGAGCTTTCCTTTGCAAAAATTCGGCTTACACACTTATTTGCCCGCAGATTTTGTTTTTGGCCCAACTGCCCAGTTGGTCCCTTTATATAGGAAATAAGAATTTAAAAAAAAAAGTGTAATGAGCACTTGATAAATAAAAGCCTTTAATTAAACAAAATACTACCTCCGGTCCTTAATATAAGACCATGTTTGACTTTTATTTTGGTTCTAAATATAAGATCCCAATCCACTTTGTCTCTCATATTTATATATTTTTTTTCAAAATAGCCATTCTAACAATGATAGTTCTAGTCAATACACTTGATTAATAAGAATATTTTAGGAAAAACAATACCTATTTAGGACAAATAACTAACTCAATTTATTTTTTTAATCTCCTCAAATTAGTCAACTAACTCTTATAATTAGGATCAGAGGTAGTAGTAACTGAATCCTTGGGGATATTAATTTATAAAGCAAAATAAATGTTTCATGAGATCAAGTCTCAATTTGTACAAAGTGCAGCGAACTCAAACGTACGGTCTAGCTGGACATTTTTTGTTTCTATCAGACAAAAAGAATTTAATTTTTTAAAAAGTATATTTTTAGTTATCTAACCATAAAACTGCTGACAAAAAATGATGTTATTAACATCTTAAGTGTTAGCATTTGATAAAACATTCTCAAATACTAATATATTAAATTTAATTTTCAAAATAACTATGATTATTATAAAAATCATAGATTAACGATTGTAGGATTAAAAGACTAAAAATATATTTTTTAAAGTTAAAAAAGGAAGATAAAACATTATATAAAGATAAAAAACTAAATGTATACTTTAGTTGAATTTTTGATGAACAAAAGAAACTAGGTTACGAGTGATTATATTTCTTTTTTTCAGTTATGACGCAATGATTATTAAATATTATACAAATGCAGAAAAATATTTTATTATTGAATTATTTTTAAAAAATTATTAATTATATAATATTTTATTATTTGAAATACATATTTAATCGAATACTATTTTTATTTAATAATTAAACATATGATAAGGGCTCTTTTCTAATTAGAAGCACATTCCAGTCCACCGTGTTTTTTTTTTTCGGGTGGGCCAACAAACAGTGCAACTTATTTATTTATTTATTTCTGGAGGAAAGCGCAGTTCATTCTATAATGGCTAAATCCTTGCGGATATTAATTTATAAAGCAAAATAAATGTTTCATGAGATCAAGTCTCAATTTGTACAAGGCGCAGTGAACTCAAAGGGACGGTCTAGCTAGACATTTTTTGTTTCTATCAGACAAAAAAAATTTTAATACTAAAGTATATATTTAGTTTTTTAATTTTACACAACATTTTAATTTATTTTTTTAACTTTAAAAGTATATTTTTAGTCTTTTAATCATAAAACTGTTAAAAAATTTTTTATTAAAGTTTTGAGTGTTGATAAAACATTATCAAATATTAACATATTAAATTTAATTTTTAAAACAACTATAATTATTATAAAAAAATCATACTTAATGATTTTAAAATTAAAAAACTAAAAATATATTTTTTAAAATTAAAAAATTGAGATAAAACATTATATAAAGATAAAAAACTAAACGTATACTTTAATCAAATTTTTTATGAACAAAAAAAACTGGGTTATGAGTCATTACATTTCTTCTTTTGAGTTATGACGCAATGATTATTAAATATTATATAAATGCAGAAAACTATTTTATCATTGAATTATTTTTAAAATTTTTTAATTAAACATAAGATAAGGGATCTTTCCTAATTAGAAGCACATTCTAGTCCACCGTGGTTATTTTCGGGTGGGCAAACAAATAATGCAACTTATTTATTTATTTATTTTTGGAGGAAAGCGCAGTTCATTCTATAATGGCTAATTAATACAAGTCGTCTCATCAAATAGAATAGCACTATGCATCCTGGAGGATACTAAAAACCACAATTCACTGCTCAGAATTATAAACCAATCTTCAGAGATATCAATAAATCAAACCAAGCATGCTTCCTCAGATCAAAGTCTTGGCTTTTTCGAGTGCAAGGAACTCAGATGTATGGCCTGCACAAGCACCTGAGTCACCTTCACATTTCATTTCTGTAACAAAATAATAAAAATAGTTAAAATTATGCTCAAAGTTATGGTAAGAGAAGTAATTATATAATTACTACAAGCACCCAGCGGACAGCTTATCAGTCGTGCAAAGAAGGCAGAGTCAATAAAAGGAATTGTAATGAACAAAAGTAATCATAAGTGGGCTGGAAGTTATGGTATATAACAGAAATAATTATTCCCAATCCTTACTATTCAGTGAGAACACATTAAACATGCGGAAGATAGACCAATAAGACTCTATCATCAGCCTACGTTTGAATAACTCGACCTCTGCAACATCAAACAGTTCTTCTTTCAAGATTACTCACTCGAGCAAGTAAGTCATAGTTCTTTTAATCTTAATCAAATTTTAATCCCATTATATCAATCAAAAAGAGAAAAGGCTTCCCCATGCGAGAAATGAAATGGGAGAATGGAAATTGAGGGCTGATTTAAAAACTAATCTCTAACAAGGGCTTTTATAGTTGTGAAAAGCTGTAAAGATTAGAAGCTTGGGTAGTAAGAAATTGAAAGTTTAAGTAGCCATAGGTCATTGCTTGATATTAAATGTCCAATCAGA